TCTGCGCTGCTCGTCCTTTTTGCCAATGGTCCTCTGCCGGCACAGTACAACTGCTGCCCAGTCATTCTCTGGGGTCGCATTAGCTGCACATCAATACGTATGGGGGCCCGTTGTTAGGCGTATTTATAAATGATATTACGTATACGTTGCGATGTCCCAATTTAAAGAGCCAACAAAGAGTCAGACCGCTGGATTCACGACTGCCCCGACAACATTGTTATGAATAACAAGGACAAACAACAAAGGATTCCGGGCCAACTAAGGGGTTTTACTCGACAGCATCGACGGGCCATTCAGGCAAGGCTTATTTTCCCCTCTTCATTAACGAGCATTGGACTTTCAATGGATCTTTATCTATATATTAGTTTCTATACAGCCTCGTTTATTAATTAAGCACGGAATCATAACCAACTGGGCATAGCTGTCAGTTTGATGGAAGGCGAGGAGATACAGTTTTGCATTCGCGGAATATTTCCAGCCAAAAATACCCATCAAACTGATGTTCGTTGGCGCCAATGAACAGAGATTGATTCGGATGTGATTCGAAAATGGAATCAGTTTCAGCTCTCGATGGCCGCAGTGCCCGGCAGTGGCAGGATGTCGGGACGACGAGAAGCGGCGGTGACAGGCAACACTCAACCGGCGGACAGCTTCCTGCTCGGCTTAGAAAAGCGGGCGAGTGTCGCAAACTTTGCCGACATCCTGGGGCCACGCCCCCCCCGCCTTCGCCCACGCCCACGCCCTTTGTGCCGGGTATTATGAATTAAAAACGCTGCCAAGTTGCGGCATATAAATGGCCATGTCAACGGCGTCGTGGCAGCCTATTAAGTGCTTTCTGCCTTCATTGTTTCCATCCCAGTCGCCTTTTTTGTCGTTTTTCTTTGAGTGGCACTTGTTACACGCACAGGCAGTCGGGAAAGTGGAAGGTGGAAAGTGGGTGGCCCTGGGCTTAGCCGTCTGTTGCAAAATGGATTTAGCACTTTTATGCCAACGGTGCCAGGATTCGCCTTCCTTTGTTTTTCCAGCTCTCCCTTTTATGCGCGCCCTTGTTTTGTTTCTGGATGCGACGACGAGCGCCTAAAAGCATGCAAATGCCTATCGCTAAACGCATTACAGCCGTCTCCTACCAATCCGGCGCTGGCGAATTAAGCTTTTAAAAAATTTAAGTTAATTTCCCAGGGCCAGCCACTCAGGTGGTTTTGTGGGGTGGCATGTCCCCCCTTCCCTAGTGGCATGCATCCGGATGGGGCACTTGAGGAACAAATGCCGAGCCCATTCGGCAGCGCGGGCTTAATTACAGCCAGCTGCGCTTTGTCTCGACAGCCGGAGAAGAAGCAAGCCCGTAGAACGAAACCCGGAGACTAAGGCGCATACGTGACCCACTTCCGGTGCCACAAAGGAGGGAAGCCTTTGCAAAAAAAAAAAAAAAACAGAACAGAACAGAACAGAACGAAAGGCAGGTGTGAAGGCTGCTTGAGTGAGAGTTGTCATGACATTTCTCTAGTTTTTTTCCCACTCTTTTTCTCGCCTTCATTATGCAGCGTTCTCCCGGCAACGCCAAGTTGGCCTTATTTCGTCTGCTTTTAAATCTTGGCTTATTTTTAGCATAATAAATATCGTATGCAAATATTTATGTGGTGCTGTCTACCAGTGTGTGTGTGTGTGTGTGTGTGTTTTGTCTTTGTTTGCCGCCGTGTGTCTGTGTGCGATGCGTCTGTGATATTTCAACCTGCATCGGTGTGTTGCTTTTGCTGTTGTTGTTATAGTTATTGTTGTTGTTGTAGTTGTTGTTGTTGCTGCTGCTGCAGCTTTTGCCGCTTGTCGCATTCAACTAGCCAAGTTGAGCCTTCGGGCCAGGCACACACGATAAATACAAGCAGCGTCGAGTGGCGTTCGTGTTGTTGCCATAATGCATTAGAAGCGGTAAAGGACTTTATGTAAACATGTCGCACACACGCAGCCAGGCCTACGGATCTCAGTCTGCACATGTGCGTGTGTTTTTTTCGGGGCAAAGGGGATAAGTGAGGAGAGGGGAAGGAGAAGGGGAAGGGGAGAAGGGAAGAGGAAAGAGGCACCAGGACAACAAGTAGCTCATAACGTGAAAACAGCAGCCAAACGACAACAGGAAGTAGAACGGGTACGACTACGGCAAACGAGAATGGCATTGAGAACAGCGTACAGAACCAGAACTAGAAGCAGAACCAAAACGGTAAAGAGCACTGCAAAAAAGGGGGTCCTAAAAGTAATTAGTTATCTAATTCATAAGTCTTCCTGAAAGCCTTTGCTTCAGAAGCATTCAACCCGCACGCAAGAAGCCTTAATTATTTTAACGCATTGGGTGGAAAGAGCTTAAAATTGGCATCTACTTACTGTCTTTTCCTTGATTGTTGAACAAAGATATATATTTCTAGTAAACTGTTTCCCAGGCAACAAAAGGAACAATTATAAAAATGCAAGTAATCCATAGTGTTAAATGTCACACCTGTTTTAAGAACTAAAAGGTTTCTCCACTTAATTATTATACCCTTGCAGAGCAAAAGGGTATTATAATTTCAGTCAGAAGTTTGCAACGCAGTGAAGGAGACATCTCAGACCCCATAAAGTATATATATTCTTGATCAGCATCACCATCTGAATCGAAATATGTATGTACGTCTGTCCGTCTGTCCGTCTGTCCGTCTGTCCGTCGGTCCGTCTGTCCGTCTGTCCGTCTGTCTGTTTCTATGTAAACTAGTCTCTCAGTTTTAAAGCTATCTTGCTGAAACTTTCCCAAAAGTTGTGTAGCTATTGCACGCAGTATATATGTCGGAACGGGCCGGATCGGCCGACTATATCGGATAGCTCCCATACGAGAGAATGAAATAAAAAATTCTCCCGCCGTTGTTTTTGATCAGATCGACTTGAATTCTTCAAGATGCCGTTTTCTAACTACTATTGAATTTCGGTTTAAATTTGATCAAAATCGAATAACTCTATCATATAGCTGCCATAGGAGAGATCGAAAAATATATATAGAATTAATGGAAATAAATTGATAACATCGTTGTTTTTTATCCTACGAGCATGATTTTTTGAATATCAAGTTTTTTAACTACTCTTATATTGATAAAAAAATTTCATAAAAATCGGACAACTATATCTTATAGCTGCCATAGGAAAGATCGGAAAATCTATATTGAAATAACGGAAATAAAATTATAACATCGTTGTTTTTCATCAGGCAAGTATGGTTTTTGGAATATAGAATTTTGTTACGATTCTTGAATTACGAATTAAATTTGATCAAAATCGGACAACTATATCATATAGCTCCCATATAGTCGAAAATATGGAAAATGAATAGAAAAATCGTCATAGCTTCGATGTTGTTAGGCCTTATGCATTTTGTTCGACATATTTGAGATCTGCAAGGGTATATAAGCTTCGGCTTGCCGAAGCTAGCTTCCTTTCTTGTTGTAAGTTGAGCTACAACTGCAGTACGAAACTCCTAGTTTGCATGACCACTTAACTAATGATTGAAGCAGTTGCAGTTTTAACGAGAACTCCATTATTTTTCTGAGTGCACCGAATCCCGGACCTGGTGGCTCAACGACAGCCCCAGCAGGCAGCGGACTCGTGTACGGGGCCAAAAACAATGGCCGGAAATGAGGTGCACACACGCACACGGCGCATATGCGTTTGTGTGTGTGCAATACGTGTGGAGGATGCGGTGCCTTGTTTGGGGTTTGTTTTGGCCTCTGCAGTGCCCCTCCCCTCCCCTTTCCTCCCCCTTTTCAGACCCAAAACCCACTAGCTCCCATTCACTTTTCATGCCGGGCAGAAGGTGCTGGGGAAAGACATTTTGGGTCGCCAGTTCTTTGCGGTAATTTCATGCCATTTGCACCTTGCAATTTCCCCGACGGCCGAAAGCACGAGCTCTTGGAATTTGTTCTTTTCAGTTCACTTTTGGGAAATTATACGTGTTTATTTTAAAGTTATTTAACATACACCCCGAACATATTGCCCCTTTAAGCTGACCAGGCATTTAATTAACCGAAGCCCGAGCAGAACTTTTCAATTTCCAGCATCAAGAGGTGCTCTCGAATCCCCAGGGACTCGAAATAGGTAAGTCGGAGTTTTCATGCATGCGTATATATATATATACGAGTATAACATATAGCTTGGCCTAAGCTGATGATGGCCACACAATGCTGATGGGACGCATGTGTGATTCGGGATCGCATTTAAAATACCGTTATGTCTGTCTGTCAAATTTTCCATTTAAAGTTTTTCCTCGAGCTGCCAGCAGAGCTTGTGTAACCATTGCTGCTCCAATCTGGCAGCCGAGTGGATGCTGGGAGGCAGAATGAAAACTTTTCCATTTTCATTTCCATTCCATCATCATGTGAACGGGTGATGGGTTGGAGGAGGGGAAGGAGGGGGTATGTAGGTTGGGAATGGGATTCGGAATGGGTCGTCATCTCTGCCGGCTCACTTAAATGTCTACACAGCCATCACGGAGCGACACACAAAAGGTGAGCCGGCTGCTGCTGCCTTTGCCTCTGCCGCTGCATTCGAGTATGACAACTGGATGGAGTAAATAAAATAAAACAAGTTTGCATTTACGCAACGAGCTCCACTCCGTCGACCCTTGCACATATAGAAAAAGTCTGCCCAAGTCGCCCTGCCAGCTGCATCTCCATCCGAATCTCAGTCTGAATCGCAGTCTGAACCAGCATCTGCATCTGTATCTGCATCTGCATCTGTAGCTGTGTTTATTCTGCAACGTCTCCGAATGTTGCCTCGAAGGAGACCAAGGGTGCTTGATGAGCATCATCGTCCTGTGGAGGGTAATCCACTATCAGGAGTGGAAAAATACATTCAACAAAAGCGGAGAGTTGAGAGGAGGAGGAGGAGGTGGAGGATGAGGAGGCTGCATAAATTATGAGAAAACACAGAAGAGGTGGGCGCCTCGGGTTTACATTTATATGGTAATATAGACTTTATTTATAGTTTTTGAAAAATTTTACAAAATAATCAAATATACATACACATACGGTTTCTAGTCACATATACATTCAATACCGAAAATGTTCTGGTGTAGGTTAGTGTTATTATTACGTTAAAGTAGATTTGGTATTTGTTGCATTTAACAAAATGAGATAACTATAACTAAGCTGTAAATTACACATACAAGTAACGGCTCGATCGCTATATCAGGTGTATATATACTGAGTACCGACTTCTTCGTCATTTAGCTAACTCATCGATGGGCTCCAGTCGCCGGACCAAAGCAACTTTTAGTGGGAATCGTGGGGGGGAATTTATTTTTTTGGGGGGACGCGGGAAGTTGGGGGATTTAAATTTTATCTGCTGTTTGGTTTTAGCATTAATTGTATCGCTTGTTGCACATCCATTTACATTCACATTAACACAAATTATACTCTGCTGTTGTTCACTTTTCGCTTTGTGTGGCCAATCGTTCGACAGCAGTATTAATTACACGTACTATATATTTCTATGCTATTTTCCGTTTTTGGTTTTTTAACCGCATTGCCCACATTTATTTAATTCTAGAAAAGCTGAATGCGTATCTTGTATATGGCTGAGTTATTCGGAAATCAAGTAAAGTTATTTTCCTATACATTTATTTATATTTAGGCGTCTCCTTCGATAATCTCATTACGATATTCACTTATGGTCTAGCTCATACGACTGCATCTAAGGTGCGATTTCTGATCGGCCTGCGGTCCTGGATTGCCAAAATGGATATAAAACAGGGTGCCGGAGAACCAAACGAGAAGGTGCCATTTGCGTTGCGAAGCAACAATACGAGTATCGAACTGTAAGTACATATTTCATGAGATTCGAATGACTGTGGTGCACTATATTTACATAAAACAACCTTGGCCACACCACTTGTGGTGTTGGAGAGATTAAGCATCGTGTGGGTATTTATATAGTTATTACTGTTGAGATTCATTATTCTATAATGCTCCTGCTCTCGCCCCATACTTTATATCAATCATATTTATTTACACTTACCACCTAGTTTGAATCGAATAGCCTTATGGAAGCTGCTACGGGCTGCCCCTTTTGTGTGTGGATTAATTTACATACCAAATCAATACGTCTGTTTACTAATTTAATTGCATTTATGCGGTCAATTAAGCTACTTAGCTGCTACGTACATACAAATTGCAAAAAGCTAGAAAAACGCTGTCTGCTGTAAGCCATTGGAATGCATCTGCAAATTAGTTAAAGTCTGCCGTTTGTCTGCAAATTCGACTAAAATTCATGGTGTGGCGAGCGGCAGTGGCGTATTCGATATCCCATAATTAGTATATGCATTTATGTATCAATTAAATTAACTATCCGCATAAGTACTCCGAAGAACACCAACTCCTATTCAATCGAATACGTACTAGTTATATGTAAATGTGGGCTTTTCTTCTCTCGTCGAGTGACTATTTCTTTGGTGCAGTTTATTCCTAGGAATACGCAATAAAATCTATGTACACTGTTTTTTTTTTTTTTGTTTGGGTGCTTGAATGGTCGAGTGGCGAATGTGTGGGTGAGTGTGCGTGGGTGTAAGTGGGTCTATATGCTTTATGGGTCCTAGTTTGAACAGTTGCATGCTCTTTTACATTGATTGTTACATGTATAATGTTGTATGGTTCCGTTTTCCGTTGCGGTTAATCCACTAAACTTTTGCTTGAGAAATTCGAATCGAACAATGAGAAATCGTAGTTGTAATTGTATCGTAAGCTTATGCCTAAATGGGGATCCTCTCTTAGGCTACCAGTTACGACTAGAGTGTGTGTGTTCTTGTGCAGGACACAAGTCCTTGATCCTTTATCCTTACTCCTTTGTCTTCTGTCTGCTGACTGCTGACTTGCTGCTGTCTGTTGTCTGTTGTCTGCTGTTTTCCGTATGCTGTTCCGGATCAAAGTCAAACGATTCGCTTTACTGCTATTGGCGGTCGCGGCGGCGGCGGTGAAATTCGTAACTCAGGTCGAAATCGAACGCAATTAGGCCACGAGCAGGCTCAAAGCCAGAGTGGCGGAACTCAGGGCCAAAAGGCCGAGCTTCTGCCGGTTGATGGCGCCGCTGCCGTAGAAGGTGACGCTCAGATCCCTCATCTCGTTATCTGCAATAAAGATGGATGCGATTCGCTTTTATTAATCCGCTCGAAAAGGCCTCAAAAAGATGGCGATGGCGCATAGAAAAATCGAGCGCACATCGCACACACGAATATGAAATATGTGTATGTGTTTGTGTGTGTGTATGGGTGTGCATTTCCATATTCATTCGGCGATGGCCGTAAAACAAATTGGTTGGGCATGCAAGTCAACAGATTGAAATGTACTCAATGGCTATATGGATATACACAGGTATATGGAATACACCTCTGCAGGATAAAAGCGCACACATGCACACATCAGCCATCTAAACGGACTTTCGATGGCGCACATTAAAACTTGTTTTCGGTTTTCCGTTTTTAGTTTTTCCTCTAGTTCGTTTTTCTGTTGTTGATCGAGTTTTTCAAAATACATATGAACGGAAATGGCACGCCAAATAGTTGGTAAACTGGCCGGACAAACGCATTCATATGGCCATATAGAAGCATATACACATATGGTTTATTTCCGATTTTATTTTCTTATTGCTATTTGCAGTACTTAATATTTATTCAGGCTAGCTCGGTTCAAATATTGAGTTTCGCATACAAGGTTTAAAAAATAAATATCATGCAGATGGAAACATGCAAAGATACAGATACAGAGTAAGACAGAGATAGAGAAAGAGATTTAGAGAGAGAGAGAGAAAGATGAATGGCAGAGGAAGAGAGAGAGAGAGAGAGAGAGAAGGACTAACCTGACAGACCGTGATTCAAAAAGGTTGACATATCGACAGGTCCATCTGCAATTAGTACGTGGAGCGTCGTTGAAAGTTAGGATAGTTGAAGGTGGGGGGATAGTGCGGTTGCCAAGGCCTACGGTGCTGGTATTAAGTAAGTTTGTATGGTAAGTAAGCCCGCCCTATCTGGCCGATTTTTAAATCAAATCCATGCGGGTAAATAAATCATTAACGCTTAAAGTGCAATCTGCAATCTGCAATCGGCAATCAGGAGGATTTACTTTGGCGCAGGCTGCAGACTTCCACTGCGGATGCAGATGGCCAATCAAGTGGGCGGCGGGCCAATAAGGCCAATACGGCCAATATGGGCGGAATGGCGAGGTCAGTCCTCCTCGTCGCCTCGGCAGCCGGCTCATTTCGTTAAGGCCGCCAATTAAAATGGCAACGTGCAGAGCGTCTGTCAATAATGACAAATGAGCATTTGGCCACCGGAGCTGAGCGGGCTTCAAAGGCGCAACTGACTCGGCAAACAGCCGTAAATGAAGGGATCTGCTCCTGCACACTTATATAATACTATATATACATATATATCATCCCTTTGCCCATCGATTTTAATGAAATGTCGACTCTGCCAGGGACATCGACTTCTTTATCTGTCGCTGCCGACTGTCAATGAAGTTGCGGGTGAACAAAACTTATAAATATTTGATGGGTTGCCAAAAGCACACACACACAAACACACATCTGCTGAATCGAGAAGGAGGCTGCCCGCTTGCCCACTGATTGCTGACACTTTTAATAGACAGCCAACATCGAATGCCGGACGGAGTCTCCACTGGTTGTGGAAAATAAGAGGAGAGCTGGGGAAAGTTGGGGAGCTGGAGGGGCTGCTTGCAATGCCGAACGTGGTTTCATTGTAGGTTGCATGTTGCACACGTGTTTGCAACCAGCAACCGGGACAGCTTATCTATCGAGGCATCTGGGCTGCCAACGCCTCGAAACATGACACCTTTCGTTTTCGAATAGCCGCAATGAAGGCGCCTTCCACAGCCCCGAAAACCTTTTTCGTTTTATGACCAGAACGTTAAAACAAACATCTTAAAAAAGCATATGTTATTTTTTCATAACCCACTAAAAACAGAAGTGCACGACATAACTACTTCTCAACCGCTGTGCTGAAAATAATAGTTGCGCTGCAAAAAGCAGGTGTTTTGGTTATCATAAATATACAATATAAATTATAAAACATTTTCTAGTTGGTTTCTACAAGTTGAATTTTAATAGGCTTGAAAAACGAAACGCAACAGTGCCATTTCTGCTGCCTCATGTCTCTATTCTCTGTTATTTGGCCATTTAGTCGTCGACTGGCGTTAAAGTGGCTAAGAAAAATGGCCGGCAACGAGGCAACGATCAAATGCAATGCACACTCGCACTCCTGCCGGCATTACCATATAAATTCCCCAACTGTCAACATAAAATAAAAGCAAATTGTCAATTGCGGTGCCAGCTAACGCCGGCAATTTTGTAATGAAAACAGACGCGGCCACGGATCCGTGATGCGGAGGGGCAAAGGATGGTGGACGGTGGATGGGAGGATGCCAGGATGCAGGAGCAGCTGGACTCGTGACCATGTGGCCGACTGGCTAATGTGGACGTCCATTGGCCACTGGCCATTGCCCAATGCCCAATGCCCATCGGCAGCGTCCTTCTATCGCAGCGACTTTTATTGCTTGCGGTTGGCGGCACAAAACCGTAACGTCACTTGTGATTTCTCGTTTGCGCAGCTAAATAAGCGCGCACCCGCCATCGATGTCGCCGCAGTGGCGAGGCTACGGCTTTCGGCACCTGTCCAGTTTCGGACTCCTCCATGTCCTCCACGTCCTCCGCCTCCCGACAGCCCCCCGCATCCCAGCGTCCTGCATCCCGACATTCTCCACGCGCTTTTCACGTAATAGCATTGCGGTGCGGCAACAAATACAAATGGCCGAATGCAATCGACATGGACGGACACGGATTTGTTGGGCTACTACTGATACACAGAGAAAATTATAATATATATTTCTAAATTTATATCATCTAATATTAATAAAAATCATCAAAACCATCTACTTTTAGGACCAAAACAGATATCTACAACCCTTAAATTGATCATTGGTCAGACTCTGTTTAGAACTTGTTATTGTTAAGATGGAATTAGTTTTTTAAATAATCTCTGGTTTGATCTGTTGAGCATCGATTGACTACAATTTTTTTTTCTGTGCAGGGATGTTGCTGTGCTGACGTAGTCCAGTTTTGTTGCTGGTGTCCGTAAGTACAGCAGGCAAATCCGATTTTTCGCACAACTGACATGACGGTTTTTGGCATTGGCTCGGGGGTCAGGGCCGCTAGTTTATTAGAGATTCGCAAAAAGCAGCGGCTCCTGACCGCGGATTTTCAAGTTTGGCAACCTGGCAACCCGGCAACATGCAACCCGGCGGCAGCAGCAGCGGCGACATTTCAACAATGCTTCACGTGCACCAGTGGCTCGTTTGTCGCCGGATGACCGCACGGATTTGGTTCTCCATTATAACTGCTATTGTTTTTGTTGTTGCGTGTTGTTTTTTTTCCTTTTCGTTTTTGGTTTTTGGGGTATTTTTTGGGAGTGGCCCCTGGCCCTTTAAGCCCTGATTAAAGCTTAGCTCCTCCTCCGTCGTCATCCCCCGGCAAGTTGCAGCATAATGCAGTTTGGCATTCCTTTGTGGGCGAGCACTCAGCACTTGTGGCCAGGAACTTCAGCAACAGCAACAGTGTCTCAGTTTGTCGGGCTGTTGGCATTGTGGGACTTGCACTTTACATAAACATAACATTCACGTGGAGAATTCGCATTACACATCTTGCCACCGAGAGCCACGCGGTGCTATTTTTGCCTCTGTGTGCGCTTGTTATGCTGCCACTACAGAACTTCAGCCGGGTCCTTCCTCATTTTCTCCCGGCTTTTTTCCATCTTTTCGCCATTCTCGTGTATGCCTTGGCAAACTTTGCAACTTACATGCAGGCAAACAAAATACAAAAAACACAAAAAAGGGAAAAAGATCGCAAAAAACGATGACGCTGCTGCAGTTGTTCAGCGGGGCCTCGACTAAAGTATTCCCTTCGGCAACACAAAAGCTTCAAACACACAGGACGGAGGGCTAGAAGAAAAAATGAAGTGCAAGGGGGGTAGGGGGTTGTAGCTGAGGGGAAGCAACCCGATGGCCGTCGACTAGGACGAGTAAATTGAAAGTTTTGAGCAGACGCTCAGTGCCAGGAGCGGCGACGTCCTCGTCCCGACGCATTCTAAAGGACATGCAGTAAGGGTCCACTTTGTCATCGTTTGAATGCCTCGCCTTGTTGTTGTTGCTGTTGCTGCTGTTGCTATTGCTATTGCTATTGCCATTGCTGTTATTGCCGCTGCTGCAGCAACAGCAGCTCCTCAGTTGGCAGTTTCAGCAAGTTTTACGCAACTTTCAACGAGTCTTTCATTTTCTGATATTTCTTACTGCCAAACGCCCGCCCGAAACGCGCACAAACATTCGCACACTCGTTGCCTTACTTTATGTTGTAATTTTATTTAACTTCTTTCTTTTTTGCTTTATGTCGAGTATTTTTTCGCGTGCACAAAATGCATTATTTTTTATATCTCTATGTGCGATGGCTATGTGACCCCCGATCCCAGATCCCCGATCCTTGAGCCCAGAAGCCCGCGTGCTGCGGAGTCGTTACTATAACCGAGTTCCATGATGTAAATAGCTGCATACCTGGCCGGGAGTCTATTTCTTACCCCCCTTCCCCTCACTCCTCTTAGCCAGATCCACGCATTCAGGCTATGACAATGGCAACACAAACGAAAAAAACAATGCCAACAAGGATAACATCAACGGCACAATGGGTCGCGATGGCAGACGAAGAGTCGTAAAAATTAAATGCACTTAGAGGCCATTCGCAATGTGGATAATATGGCGAAGGAAAATCGAAGTTGATATGCCCTTCGGGGGTCCTTAAGTTGACCCATAATGTCCTGCATAAATTGTCTTCTCGAGTTGTAATCAAATGGGTTGGCTTCTGGAAGCCATATACGTTTTATTGTCTACAATTTCATTGATCAATGTATCGATTTTTTATGTTTTCATTAAATTAAAACGAAACTGAATTGAATATATTATTGCAGGATATTAAATAGTTTTGGCTTTACAATTTATAATTTAATAACTTGGTTAACTTGTTGCACTTAATTTTTTAAGAATTTTATCAGCAAGAGCATCATTGCTTCCACAAACCTCATTCGCAGCTCAAGTTTGTCAACCTGTGGAAAGGCACCACATTGCGGGTGCTGGGATCTCGAATGCGTGGCGAATGGAGTCGAAATGTAAACGGCAGACCCATCTGCCTGCGACAATCCCCAATTGGCATTTTCTTTCTCTTAGTGGCCGGGCCGAAGCCAGGAGACCCCTGGCGAGCCACCTTGCCCCACTTCCAGGACTCAGGACTCGTTTACGTGCTGTGGCACAGGTAAATGAACTGCAGAGCTGCTGAACTGGTGAACTGGCGATACTTCTGCGACTGTCTGCCTGCGTGTGTGTTTGTCTAGGACGACTGTCGTCCTTTAGTGTTACGGTTATTGTCCGGGGTTTGTAGTTATGACACTCCGGGCTCATTAGTTGCCGCTTTGCTCGATTGCACCTTGTTGGTAATGCAACTGCCATTGCTGTTGCTGCTGCTGCGGTTATTATTGCATCGCATGCTCGGTCACTAATTGCATAAATTGTTTACGTTTCGAAAATATAATGAAGTCATTTCCATTAGCACAAAACGCAGCCATAAATTGCTGCCAACGGAGTTGCGATTCCAAAAGGAATGAGGTGTTCGGAGGGGGTTATCGCATTTCAATGGCGCTTGATGAAGTTGGCTGCCAGGACTTTGTGTACAGCATCTTATACAAATACGAGTACGTGTCTGGGTGCGGACTCCATTCAAACGCAACACGTCCTGCCGCCAGGCGACATCGATACCTTTCCCGGCATCGAAAGGCTATAGTTTCCCCCTGTGCTTTACCACCCCTTCCCCTTCCCCCTCCTCTTCCTTTGGCATTCGTTTTCCCTTTTGTGTGCGGCATTCACGTTTTGCTTTATTAAATTTTCGCCGCCTCGCTGTGTCCCTGCTGGCAGTTGGAGTATCTCGAACCAACATGTGCGTGTTTATTGCATACTTCTTTTGTTATAGTTCTTATTGCTGTTGCCACTGCATATTTATGCGTTTGTTTGCAAGGCTGAGGAGCTGGGAGGGAAAGAGGGAAGGGGGCAGGAGACCCATCAGCGTAACTGCAACAGCCGCAGCGGCAGTGAACCGTGCACTATTTGCATTTGCATGCATTTCGCATGGCAGCCAAAAGATGGCAAAAGACAGCGGATCTGGAGCCGGCGCCGCCAAATGTGCGTCATTTGCATGGAAAATCGCTTTTCTGCGCGCGCCACATTTCACGCTGGCAGCCCCAACGCCGTTTTCTCCTTTTTCCCGCCGCACGAATTCCGTATGCAACGCAACAATAGTTTTGCATATAAATGGATTTCGAGTGTGCATTTAGATCTACCCACCTGGCTGCTCTCCTCTTGGTTGGTTCGCTATGGTATGGTTTTGTATGGTCTGGTTTGGTCGGAAAGCAATCGACGCAGTGCATCTTTGTTTATTTATTGCCGGCGACGAAGGTGACTTTCAAGGAACTCGACAGGACTTCCTGGCTCGTCCTGCGGCCGCCGACTTTCGCCGGCATCCAATTAGCGACGGCTTGTGCTCTTATTTGATTTTCACCCTCATTATGCAGAGTCAAGACTGTAAGCTCGAACTTGCCATCAATTAATTATGCACACACACTGGAGGCACCCCCAACCGCGAATTTGTCAACTGGCAGTAGTAGTGAATGTCAACGTTGCGTATACTTGATATACGAATAGGTGTAAACAGCATGAACTCTTACTGTGTATTTTAAAGTAGTATATTTCAATAAGGTTGGTATTAAACCATGAAAATTTAAGTAATTTTTCGTGACTTATGCAAATGAAATTATTGTAAAGGATTCTTTGAAGATCCTTTTATATCTTATAATCTCTTATAATTTTCTTATATTATATGTACACATAAGTGAGGTTTGATTTATCACTACCCGAGGTACTCATTGAACTGCTATTTCTACCTTTGTGTGCTCTAAGGAGTGTGGGGAACAGACATGCTGTGCATTTGCAAGGTGGACTGCAAGTGTCAGGGTGAAATGATTGCTGGAATTCTTGCAACGAATACAAACGCGAAGGCGACGTGTTCACTTCACGCCTGAATGGCCCGCTTCAGCAATAAATTTAACTGCATTAAGTTATGACAGCTTAAACATATTTTTCCTCGGGCTGCGATACACAGCGATTCGAGATTCTTTTCTTTTTTGTTTTTTTATGGCTTGCTTTTGTGTTTGCGTGCTGCAGCTTCATTGTGATTTTTGTGGATTATCGGCAAAAGCGGCGCATAATTCCAAATTATTATGCATGCAGCCAGCAACAGAAAGTATACAAGCAAATGGGATTCAGGTGACCCTCGGCAGGCCGAGTTCGTTATACCCTAAGAGATTACAGAAATACGCGAAGCAAATTCCAAAAGCATTTCTGCGTAAAACTCTGTTAGAGTATTTAAAATTACGCCATGTGCAAACGCTGTTTTTTGTGTTTGCCAACGCTACATAAAGAAAAACTGCAGTTGGTACTCACCATTCGATGATGTAGAGAAGACAAAACTGTTGGTCAAATCGCTCCATCCGTAACGATTCCTGAAATGGATAACCGTGTGCTGTATTAATTATGCAGCTCAGAAACATTACCGGAATTAATATGCAAATATTTGCTGATGGTAACTGCTGCCTGCTTTGCGGCCATAAATAATATCTGGGGTGGATAAACTAGCCCTTCTCATTCAGCGCACAGTGGGTAAAATAGCTCGAGTAAAAAATTACAATAAGTCCGCACTTCTGAGCCCATACATTTTTAAACTTGTGTCTCTCTAAAAGCTTATAAATTAACTATCTAAAAACTTGCATCACCAGTTAAAAAATAATTTTTTTTTTCGATTTTTTTCATTTTTTAATGGTGGTAGCAATACAAAATAATATAAAAAACCAATAATTGGGCTTGCCCTAAAATTACACTAAATCTGCACTTCTGAGCTCATAACTTTAGAATTTTTTGTCCGATTTTGAAGTGGTATCGCAAAATACTTGTAATTTGATTATCTATGAACTTGCATCACCAGTTAAAAAAAAAAATGTTTCTTTGATATTTTTCATTTTTTAATAGTAGTGCCCCTTCAAAAATCCGATAATTGGGTATGCATTAAAATTAAACTAAGTCTGCACTTCTAAACCCATAATTTAAGCAATTGTTGTCCGATTTTAAAGTAGTATACCGCTAATTGTTTATAATTTGATCATCTAAAAACTTGCATCACCAGTTAAAAATTAATTGACTTTTTTAAAGGTGATGGAGCCGCAAAGCCTTACCCCTAATTCCTGCATAGAGCTTGAGCCATACTATGTGGCACATCCTTCCACTCACCTGGACTGCACGGTGGCCTCATAGTGCACGTCGGGATCCAGGCCGCGTACCATGTAGCTCATGCCCTGGACGAAGTGGTGCGAGACGGGAACGGCGGGCAGGACGACGTTGCGCCAGTCGTTGTGGCCCCAGTGCATAACGTTGCCGTAGCCGGAGTAGCTGCCAGTGCCAGACAATCCCGACAAGCCGGACAGTCCGCCCATGTTGCTGCCAATCCGGTGCGCGTGTAGCCCGGAGCCGTACATCTGGGACGAGGAGGAGGAGGAGGAGAGCGACGAGGAGGAGGACGGCGAGTCGATGGCATTGCCAACGACCTCGTGTCCTTGCGGCAGCTTGCGGAAGGACAGCTTGTACTCCTCGATGGGCGAGTGCGAGTCGACGGCCCAGGAGATGTTGTATCTGCAATCGAAGCAAACGGGAGGGAATATGAGCGGCTGAGGGGGAGTTACAGGATGAAGTGCTGAGTGAGTGGCCCGGTTTATCGCAAAGTTTTTCGCGTGCAACAGTTGGCGGGGGATTTACTCCGAGGCGCTGGCAATCAATATGTAATTGTTAAATTCTCCATTGAGGCCAACACGCAGTCATGTCGACCAGCAAGAATGGCTGAAGCTCAAGAAGGAGAATGAAGAAGGAGGGTAGGGGGAAAGGGGAATGGGGAATGGGGAATGGGTAAACCACCCAGAATGACAACAACAACGTAATCAATGGCTGACGACAATGGCCGGGTTAAGATACTGCGTATGAGCCAACTTGCAGCTCACAGTTCGCAACTCGCAGCTCGAAGCTCACAGCTCGCAGCTTGCAGCTTTGTTGTCCGGGTTCGCCATTTGCTGTTGCTGCAGTCTTAACATAATGCCCGCCCACTCCTTTGTTATTGGCTCCTTGTTTGCCCAGCTGGCCCCCCACTCTTCGCATGGGTTCGCTTCGCTGGGGGAACTGCTCGCACAATGCGTCCATTCAACCGAAAAGCCAACAGTCCTGCCACATTCTCAGCTGAAGTGTAAATGAAGTTATATGACCGACCCTCCGTCTTCAGCTGGGTGCATTGTGCCGTGATTAGGAGGGAGCTGGCTGCATTTTTGGTCATTGCCCCCCGACTGGATGGCTTAAAGGATGATCGCTCCTCCGTGGAGGAGAAGAGAAGATGCTTTAAACCCGGAGCAGCAGCAGCTCATTAGTCGTTCGAGCTGATGGCCAAAGTTATTTATGGCCACACTCGAATGGAGCAGCTCAAGTAAACAACTAATTACGGCCAACCCCCGACTTCTTGGGATGTCGCAATTCGCAGCTCACAGCTCGCAGTTCGCCATTACAAAGGCGCAAGTTCATTGCTTTGCGATAAAGTCGGCACACAATTTGAATGTTAATCAGCACGGGGATGCCAGAGGATGCCCAACGTCCTTTGGCTTCCTGTTTTGCTGCGAACGAAAGGGGCCCATTATTTGTATTTGTTTTGTGCCCCCAAATGTATTCCGTATGATTATTGGGCCATGCGAACTAATAACTTCAAGTCCCGGGCACAATAAAAACATAAAACGCCAATCAGGAAACTTTTCGCATATAGCATAAAACTAACGCAGGCAATAAAAATGATTATTAACAATTGAAGAGCCGGCGACTGGCGCCAGACGGTTGAAAAGGGACGCCCAAAGTCCTTCTGCCCTTTTGTACTTTGTGTTTTCGCCATTCGGGCTTTTTGGTAGCTTAATTGCCGGCAGCAGTTTCCGCTTGCGAATCAAACCAAATGAAACGAAATAAAATGAAATCAGCGCAAAAGTTGACATGGCCAAAATACCCGGTTAGTTGACTTTTTGCAAAGTCGCGTCAACGGGGCGTATGCGCAATATGGCTGCTCCGAATTATGATGGCCACGCCAGCTGACTTTTTGCCTTCGCCCAGTTTGAAATGTTTTCATCGGATTATTGGACTCAATTCGAGCTGAATTATTGAAAGGTGTCGCCTGCCACTCCCCGTTTCGACTACAGAAAGTACAACAAAAAAAATAGAAAGAAATGAACCAGTGTAAAGCCATCTAGCTGTCTGTCGCCCTATCACCCATATCCATGTCTATTCGCACTGCCATTTTATTCGAGTGTGACGTGCGATGTGAGCTTGTTTGTCGCTTGGCCAACTTGCTTCTCGTTTTGGCCCCCGTTTCACCGGAGCCGGCTCTGTCTGCCTTTGTCTGCGCTCTCATAAGGCGGGTGCAAGTGTGTGCGTGTGTTTGATGACAGCTAATCCAATTAAAAGTTTCATACGTTACGTTACGTATACGCACTGGTTGCCCAGAGGTTGTCCGTCCATCAGAGAGCCGGTTGCCATGTCAGTCGACGAAATTAATCTAATAAAGTTACCCAAAGCGGGCTTACTGCATCATCTACAGCGGGCAGGGTCTACTGTATCTAGTTTCTAATGCCCAATCAGGGAGTAAAGACCGACATTTGTTACGGATTTTGCATTTTATGCTCAATTACGGAGTCTTGGCCCCTGCACTCGTAATTAGGCAACCGACCGACCAACCGACCCACTCAAGCATTGTCTAACCCACGTGGCACGTGGCAAACGTGGCACTCGTGGCAATCGAAGAGTCTTACCTGTCCTTGTACTGACTGATTGGCGGTGAATTAAAAACGGCAACGTTCGGCTTTCCGCTCAGCTGGAGGGTCTTGCGTGCCTTGCCGAGCTGATTCTCCGCCACACAGGAGTAGTTGCCAAAGTCCTGCGGATGCACTTTGCGTATAATCAGCGTGTGCCGCGATCCCCGCGTCTCCATGATGTGCCGCTCCGTGGTATCCAGTTGCATGGTGTCTTTGAACCAAATTACCTGTAAATAATTGAAAACTTGGTCAATCGAAGGCGAGCACGAGTTGCCAACTGTGGCAAGTGGCGGCGAGTGTCTTCTCGCAATGAGTGAGTGTGCGTGATTGCGTTTGTGTACCTGCGAATCTGGAGTTCACATTGAGGTTGGAATTTGTGGAGGGTAGGTGGTTCGTTTTGGGTTGGGATTGGGTTTTCAAGAGATGGGGGGCAAAAGTTAAGACGATTTGCGGCGAGTACTTCCACTGGCACTTCGTGCGGCTGTCACTTGAGCGTCAATTAAGCGTAATTCCTGTTGAAATTGAAAACCCGATCGACGTGCCTCTCCGACGATTATTGATTTTCCATCAGATTTTTTCTGTGCTGTTCTGTTCTGTTTCTGATTTCCCAACCCCCGCTTCCCTTGGCAACGTCTTGCATGAAATTCATCTTCGATTCGGCGGCATTGTTTGTCCCTATTTGTTTGCTACACACTTTCCAGCCGGTTTCGACAACATGTTTTGTGTGTCAAGTGCGCGCCCGAATCCTCTGCGAATCCCGTGCGAATCCTGTGCAAACATATCCCGCAAAAGGACCCTCGAAACATGGTGCTCGGATCGCAACTATGCGGACGGATGGACGGACGGACGGACGGACTGATGGTCGTGCGTGTTTTGTAAATGAATTGGGCGCGCGAGTCGCTGCAGCGCCGTGCTGTCGCCGTGCTGACAGCTCGCAGACAGGATACGGCTGGCTACGCGAGGATACGCTAGGATACAGCCGGATACGGGCCGCAGTCGGCAGATAAGCAAGGACAGAACGCACGAATTAACAGGGGATACGGGCAGCAGCAGTGGCAGCAGCAAAAGCAAAAGAGGCAGAGGCAGTGGCAGCAACAGCAGGTGCTCGATGTGCGTCACATACCAAAATCCAATCTCCAGTCGCCACAAAGGCACGGAAATATTAAAACAAATAGAGGCAAAAACAAAAACTTATGACCCAACCAAAACGAAAGAGAGAACGGGATAGTGGGTGGCTAACCCACGAGTATTTCTGTGGCATTTCTATTTTCAAATCTGGTATTTATTTTGCTCCTATTTGGCGAGATTAGTTAACGCCGTCGGTGCCTTGCCGCATATTCCATTAAAATGGCTGTCAGCAGTGCATATGTGTTGTCATATTTTCCACTCACACTTATGCACACACATACAAACACCGACACGTTCAGACATTTCCACCCATTGGCCGTTTGGGTACGTGTGCAGTTACAGTTATGCCGTCGTGCCATAAATGTTTTTTCGCCCATGCCATTATTTGTCCGAACTGTTGATGTTTGCGTTTTTCATGCCAAGCCCTGCTGTTGATTTTACCCCGTCTCCCTTAATTTAAGCCCTAGTTTTTGGGCCTGGTTATCATCGGGGCGCACATCATTCTGGCGCCGTTTCCTCAGCCGTGCGTAACGAGGCGTAAGTGTTGACGTGGCACAAATATGCCCAGAAATTATTTTATTTAATATTTCCCCCCATCTGCTCACCCTCTGAAGATTGGCTAACCAAATTAATTGCTCGCAAGCTGTGTTGTTGTTGGGAAATTGATTGGCCGCACTGTGTGCACTTCATTAATAGATTCACGCTAATGCTGCGCCAATCAATCTTTTGCATTTGCGCTTAATTTTCAAATGCTTGCCGTGCGCGGCACGTGAACAAGAGAAAGGAAACGAATCGGGTCGAAACAAGAAACTTGGCTAACTTTGAAGCTGCCCTTGAACAAAACAAAGCCAAAGCCAGATCGAAAACGAGACGGAGATGGGATGGAGATGCGGCAAGAAATTAGCATTGATGAGCAGCAAAGCGAGAAATACCAATCAACACTAATCAGCCAAAAGGAAAGAAGAAAGAAAAGAGTATGCGTGCCACTGCCAGAGTTCTCGTTCCGTTCTTCCTGCTCCCGAATCCTGGAGACTGGCTCCTAGATCCTGGCTCCCTTTCCCTTCCGCTTCGCCTGGCAATCTATTATGCAATACCTTCGCTCGCTGGCACAGCGGAAATTGCCAAAGGAAGACTGTTGTTAGACGGGTGGCAGCTGCGAGTGAAAACGCCCCAGCGAAAGGGCAAAAAGAAAAAACAGGCAGGGAATGTGAGCGCCAGAAAATAATTGCAAGAGGCATGTGGGAATTACGCATACGCCGCGTTGGCACGCCAGCACGCACACACGCGAAAGTTGCGTGTGGCACAGGAATCGCCTCCTCGGCTTCTGCCACTTGTGCTGTCGGTGTTGCCGGTTTCACTGGTGTCGCTGCTAATGGCCACAGTTTGACTTAAGTTGTTGCCTACACCAATTGGCCAAGGACCTGGCCAACTGCTCCCCAAAGTTGCCGCCCAGGGAAAAGCTAATAGAAATTAGATAATGACAATAAATAACTTTGCCGTAATTAATTACAGCAGTTTAACAAGAGTTTTGAGTGCCGGCCTACCATGTTATTAAGTCTATAATCGGGCAATCACTTCAAACTTTCCTTCACTAATAAATGATCGTACATATTACGTGCAATTAAATTAAGTTGAACTGTTGAATGTGAGAAACTCAGAGCTTGTTGACCAGAGGAGGTATTTCAAGGTTTTTGCCAATTCACACTTTGAGTTTTTGTTGAAAACTGAACATTAAAATGGGTTAATTGACTCCTTTTCTGCCGTTGGGGCTATATGCATATAGTTATTTGCAATTTAAATGTATATTATTTAATCGAAACACTTTTAGGGCTTTTTTAAGAACTTTCAAGGTTTCTGCGTTTGCCTGAAGCTAAATTGTAATTGGAAAACCCTTCAATGCAAACCTGAAGTATGGTAAACATGTATTTGCTCAATATTACAGCTTATTTACCCAAGAGCTCTTATCCTTAAGTCATTTTGCAGCATATTCAATAACATGAGTTGGGTTAAATAATTCGAGGCCATTACTTGCATAACATTGTAAACGGAAGAAAAAACTATAACTGAATTTGTTATTCCGTTTATTTGGGATACTATTTAAGCTGTTTTGGGGCTCGACTCGACACAAGCCAGACAATCCTGATAAATTGCCACTTAAAATGTGTATATCAAGTAGTTTTTGTGATGCTGCCAGCAAGCAATTTCCAGACCGACGAATCCCTCTAATTATCTCGCAATTTTGTGCCATCTAAACATCTCATTTCGGATCGGGCCAATAGGCCAACTTGCAGTCCCTCTCAGTCCCACTCTCACCCGGCTCACAAAAACTCATTACGTGCGCTGCGTTCGACGGAGTGTGTGTAAATGTGAAGAAAATTACCAATTTGGAAATTAATTTGCAAAATAATTAAAAGCCATACTAGCGGCACGGCTGCAACATTTTCCTCCATCTCCGCTCTAATTTTCCCCCCGCTGATGAGCGATGAAAGCTCATCAGGATGGGCCGACAAGAGTCCTTGTTTAGGAGTGGATAGTGGGTGGTGTGTGTGGATGGATTGTCGTTCAGGATAGTGGGTGGTATGTGGGTGGCGGGGGGTCGATTCGGGGAACAGTGGCTGTCCAAACGGACGCCCATTAATGCTGTTAGCTGCTGACGTTGATGGCTCTGTCAAATGCTGCTGCATGTTTAATGCGTCCGACATCGATGACGGCGACAACATCGTTGACAATACTGCCGCCCGATGACGTTGATAATGATGTTGTCTCATTGCCGTCGCTCATGTTAATGACAATTGCTCTAATGACTTTGTTGCCGATGGGTTGCTTGGGTTGGATTTTAGGGGAAAGAGGATAAAAGGGGGACGGGGAATGGGGAATGAAATGGGTGCAGCTTAGTGCTTGTTTATGATATTCATTATGCAACAAATCGACAATATCAATGGATTATGAATATGCCAGACTTGGGCCTGTGGTGCAATGCGTAATTAATATGTAAATATGCACATAAGTGCCGATGCATGGGCGCCAATCTGGGAATGTGTGCGTGTGTGTGTGTGTGTGTGTGTGTGTGTCTGCGTTTGGGATACCTTTCAGTGCTCGCTAAATAATTAATATTCCGTGCCCCAGTGTGGCACCGTTTGCGGTTTTTCCGCCGCCGCCGCTTCTCGTTGACAAGACATAATTAAAATTGCACGGTGCACCAGAACAATACGGACAATACGACGAATGAATGATATGCCACAGCCACATATTTTTCCATCACAGCTCATTAGCGCATTGACTGTTGATCATTTGCACCATTTGAATGCATAGTCTCGAATTCCAACACTAATGAAACCGGCATTCTATGCACCAGATTTTTAGCAGTAATTACAAGCTTTGCGGCATGCCACAGATATTTGCCAACTTTCGCCTTTTAGCACACTAATTAAACTGACCTTTGCCCTGCAAAGTTTACATGCCAATGAATTCCTTAATTAACATTCAAGGGCTCCGAAACAGGGGGAAAAAATGAGAGGAACTTTTCAGCTAATCAAAAAAATCCGAGACTCGCGAGTCTGTGGCACACTTGAAAATTTATATGTGCGATGGCAGGTGGAGCGGAGTCGAGTACTTGGAGGCTCGTTAAAAAAGCTCCAAAAATAAAACAGCCAAAAAGGAAGCGTTAAATTGTATACACTTAGCCACAGCGATACAAAAAAAAAAAAAAAAGAAAAAAATATTTACAATTTAAAAAAACAAGAACAAAATTAAATGAATGGAGAGAAAATGACGAAGAGGGGAAAGCAAATGTAAAAATTGCATGCGGAAATGCCATTCTCAAAGACTACTAAGTGCCACGCCCCCGCCGCCCAGCTTTCCGTCAACTGACGACGGCATGCACAATGCAAAGCAGGAGGCGTTGACGTTGACGCCGGGCTGCAGGGGGTTAAGGGCCAACGAGGGCGGAGAGGGGAAGGGTTAAGGGTCCACAGGCCAACGACTATAATGAAATGTGTCGGACAGAGCAAATAAAAAGCTGCAGCTAGCTGGCAAATAAATAGTTACGCTGTTCGCTGGAAAGCAGTCAACTCTTTGCGGCCACAAAACGAGGGTAAACGTAAAAAAAAAAAACGCAAAAACGCGAAAAAAAATGTTAAAAATTAAATAGCATAAAAACTTAATGCGCTGTCGGAATTCGTGGAACGGGCCACCCAAAAAAAAAAAAAAGAAATGCGCTGACGGACGGAGTCAGAAGCGCAACTTACCACGAATCGGGCCAAAACGAAACGAAACAAAGTGAAATGAAACGGGAGCTGTATAATTTTAAGGATTGACATTTGCGGTTGCAAGTCATTATTCGGGTTTCCTCTGTGGGACATTAGGGTGCACATTCGCATTTTTTACGGGAATTAAATGAGCGTCAATCGGCATTTTCGGATTTAATTGGAAGGAAAATAAAGGAAAGTGGAAATAACTAGGTTTTCAGGTTAAAAAGTTGATGAAAGCGATTGAAACCTAAAGAAAAATATTTCAAATATATTTTTGACTGAAAAAAGTACGCAAAATACTCAAGTACTTTTAAACGCTTCCAGTAATTATTTAAATTAATAAGTAAGTAGTAATTTCAGTTCTCATTGGATCACCCTAGTATATCTTTATTCCTCCATTTCCGCTCCGCTCCCCGCGCCTGTGTGTGTGCGCCATGTCATTTTGGGTTTTCTTTTCAGTTCTTTGGCATTTTTCTTGTGCTTTTTTTCGGTAGCCCGCCGCTTCTCACTTCCGCTTTGGCAACTTCCGCAATTTTACTTTGAATTATAGCCGAGCGTATTAATTTAAATGTCGACAAAAGGCGCAGAGCACAAAAATAAACACCAGGGAAGGGGAAGGGAAAGGGGAAGGGGGAGATGAGAGCCTGGCTAAAAGTGAAGTCGAAATTACTGCAGAAAAACGGGCATTCGCAATTGCAATGGGCATTGGGATGACAAGGATGGCGACGAAATGCCGGCTCCCACTCGCACTTGCACTTGCAGTTGGACTTTTGTGAGCGATGTTTGATTAAAATTATGCTCGTCGTCTTCAGTTCTTAACTGCTCGTCCTGCGTCCTTTATCTCTTATCTGCAATTTGTAGTGCACTTCAATTCGCCTTTGTAGACTTTTAATTAATGCGTGGTGGTAGCATGCGGCTAGCAGCTGCTTTCGGCCCGACCAAACAATGGACTCCCCGAGATGGCTAAATCTTAGGATATACACCCATGGACCGCACATATAGCATAGCATAGCGATGCTTTCGAATCTGTCCGTGTATCTGTATCTGCTGCTGTACTTGTATCCGTATCTGTATCTGTATCTGTGCGGTTTGCTGTACGTGTTTCCAAGTGAGCGAACGCGATAATGAAAATTTATGTATGAAATTTAATTAAAACATACCTCAGGCTGTGTTTCGCCGTGGACGATGCAGACCAGCGTGGCCTCGTGTCCTTCGCCGGAGAAGACCACGGGACGCTCCACGGAGATTTCCGGCGAAACTGGTGGGTGGGAGTAAAAAAAGAAGAAGGAGAGAAAACGTTAAGAAATTAGTTAATAACATGAACATTGTCCTGTCTCACGGAATGGCAGCGAACGCGAAAAATCAATGGCCGAATGGCCCCGCCGGCAGCTATTTCAGCCAGAAAGTGTAAATAGAGATGGGAGCCGTGTAATTAGCACATGTAACGACCTCCCCTTCGGTAATGATAGGGGGAGGGGGAGAAAAGGGGATCCGTTGTAACGAACTCCCATCAAAATTGAACATATAAATTCTTAATAAATGTCAGTATGACCGGGAGCCACCGCCAGGCATTTCAATAATTGCCAGCCAACCAATAAATGTCGGTAAGTGTGTAAATGTAATAAAAGTACGGCTCGTGGGCGGACCCTCATGACTCCGTCATCTACTCCGCCGGATCCCGTATCCCGGAACCGCTGCAAGTGCGGCAAGAGCGTTAAAAGTCAATACCCGTTCGGAATCGAAATCAGATTTGACATAAATTGGACTGACATTCGAACTCCGTGGCACAGAGGCGTTCGGAAAAAATTAATTCGTTTCGCTGCCATTGTGTGGCTACACTAGGAAATAAAATTGGTGTTACTAGAACTTTGTTTTCAATTAGACATTTTGAATTCGCAGTAAAATAAATATAACAGTGTTAAACAAATAAAAATATTTACCTGCACACAAACGCACAAAATTTATCCCAACACAAAAGGAATAAAAGGTTTTAAATTTAATAAATTTAAAAGCAAATAGTTCTTCAAAGGTTTTTTGAAAATCAATCAATAAATTGGTTACCCAGTCTGGGACCTTCTCCCCATTTAATATCCTTTAATTTTCCTAGTGTTTCAGTGCAGAAGTGGCTGGCATACTTACACAGGACATGGAGGACGACCTGGCTGGAAGCCGGCTGGCCGACGCGATTGTTGGCAGTGCATATGTAGACGCCGCCCTTGTGCCGATCCACATTCTCGATGGAGAGAACGTGCGAGTGGAGTTTCTCCTCGCCTGCGAAAAGAATTCAGTTGGAGAGCCATGAAAACCGCATGAAAAATGCAACTCAATAAGGTGGCCACCCAAAGTTCGGGGGCTGAAGGCCGAGAGCCGCGGCCCAAGAAATGACAGAGCCAATTACGGGGCATCAACGTGCGGCCAAGTGACAGTGATGTCCGCCCAGTGGAGTCGCCTCCCCGCCGCGGGATGACCAACCAACTTACCAGCCAACCGACCAACAAACAGCGGAGAAACCACCAGCAGAGCCTCACACACTTGCCAGTACACACTGCGATTTTGCCGGCAGAGCGAGCATTATATTTAATAATAAAGGACAAACGAAGCGGTCGACGAAGGCGGCGAGGAAAAAAATTTTAATTTCTTTGACTTTCCATTTTTATGGAAATTGTTTAAAGTTTCTTTTACGACTGTATTCATTTACTTTTGCCTCCGCTCGTCCTTTGTTGCTCTTTATGATTTTAATTTGCGTGGCCTCTGGTTGGTTTTTGGTTGCTCGGTTGTTTGGTTGTTTGGCTGCTCGGTTGTTTGGTTACATGGCATCCTTTTTTTTTGTTGTTTGGGCTGTGGCACTCGTCCTCGCATTTATGCACAATCTTACCGTTGGGCAAAATATTATTTTTGCGGCTCCAAGTCACATTCGGCATTGGATTACCCGTGGCCGAGCACTCGATGCGCACCGACGAGCCCTTCTTGACTTGCAAATGTCCGCCGGTGCTAATGTGATGAATCCTCGGCGGCACTGGAGGGCAAAGGAGAAACCGAGAAGCAGGAGAAAAGTAAAAAAAGAAAAACACATTAGAAATGGCCAAACAGAGTCCCAGTGTCCCCACCGTCCACCGAAATGTATGCAAAGTGGGGCCGGGCAAGGACATCACACAATTTGAATAAATAACTGCGTCCCGAATGCAAATTGAATGGGAGAAAACGGCATTTACGCGTCTCCAACTTTGGACTTTCGACTCGGAAAGTGCCCCCCGGTTCCCCTTTCGTTTTTTTGACCCCGCTGGGGCATAGTTTGATTTAATTCGGGTCCGGCGTTTATTTATACTTGCGGCCGCATTATTTTACAGCTGTTAAAAATTATGTCTGCTGTGCGGCGGCTAAATCAAGGACAAACTGCCATCTGCCGCCTTCGATGGCTTCATTCCACTTTATGGACATTTCTTATGCATTATTATAAATTTCCTTTTTTTTACGTTTTTGGTTTTTTGGGGCTACTGAACGCCGGGCAGTTGTTGTTATTGTTTGCACTGGGCTTGTGGGTTTGTGTTTATTTTTGAGTCCTCTTGTTGTTTTTCTTCACTTTTTCTCTTTGTTTTGTTAAAGCTCTTGGGGGATTTTGTTCATTTGGCTAGCCCCCAAATTGAGGCCAGCACACACTCTGCTGATATTTGCTTTTCCCCAGAAATTTCCACATCTAAGTGCGAGTATCAACAGCTCAATAAACCAAAAGGCGCACAGAGACACTGCGATGTAGTCGACTCAATATACATATCAAATATAAGCCCATCTCCGCAGAGGCGCCGCAAAAAGGGGCATCACTGATTAGCCCCCGATCGAATTATCACAGACGACGCCAGTGGACCCACAAAACATGTGTTATTGATGCAATTCTTTGCAAGTACATGCGATTTGCAATATATCAAATAATATATTCCATTGCCTTGGCCAAAACAAATAAGCCCAGCAAGGATGGCAGCGCCAGCTCTCCAGGATATTTGCATTCGAAAGAAAATTACAATTGATCACTGAAGGGCGCACAAACAGCTCATGGCTCGCAGCTAACAGCTGCACTGAGAAAAAAGCCTGAATGTATATAAATTTATTGGGCTTTGCATAACTGAGTTGAGTTTTTAAGACATTTTATTGCAACTTTAATAGGATTTTAGATATGAAAATACAATAAAGAGCAAGTCCTCTTCAATTCCTTACTTTTTTCTGGTATTTGATAAGAAAATAAATAGGGATTTCTGACTTAGTACGTATCCTTTTTCCCTCTGCAGCTCGTGTGCGGAGAGCTGAGTCCTCCTGCAGCCACAAAATATGCATTAGACTGTAATAAATCATGAGCCAGGCAAAAGGCGCAGCGAAAAGGACTCGGATAACTCGCAATGAAGTTGCAGGCGGGCAAGTGCCTCGCCCACCTACGTGTGTGTTTGGTATATATTTTCAATATTCTCACGCTTTGTACACTCGCATATTGAATTCAATAAATATGTCTCCTTGTTATCGCTGATGGTGGTGGCCTGGAGGGATGGGGGGATGGAGGTCCCAAAGCTCTTTTAATACGCCGGAATACCCGGGTCTGAAATTGATTTCGACTGTGCGGCTTGTAATACGTGGATTGCGGCATGTAATGTCATGCAGATGACGACTACTTAATGGGTCTCAATCTTGCAGACTGACAGCGTCGATGGTTTGCCGGTTTTGCGGCCATCTGGCAAAAATTTTAATAAGCAGCTCTTTCAAAGCATCCGCCGCAGGATCCGCAGTATCAGGATGATGAGAAGAGGACGAGGAAGGGGAAGGGGGAGGGGGAAAAGGAGGAGGGAAAGCGGAGTGGTTGCGGTCAGTTCTGACAGAGTTTGTTTCATATTGATTTCGCAACAGCCACGGCGGATGGTGGCTCAACTTCGGGTCCTGGTTTTGTGGCATGCAAAGTTGCACACCCACTTACACAGCCATCCACTCGCCCAAACCGACCAACATACACATACTCATACAGAAACACCCACAGTCACACACACACTGTAATATTTGCTCCCGGCCAGGCTTAAACTTTAAGTGCGCCGGATTGGGGACGGCAAAACTTCAGAGCATGTCTGTTAAGTAATTTAAATCCATATTCTGTTGCAGCCGATAAAGTTTAGTGCTAAAACTTAAGCGGCTTCCGAGCGCAGAGAGAGAAAGAGCTGGGCATTTAATTGTGGGCTCCTGCAGCTGCAGTCTCCTGTTCGTAATTTGTCTCAAGTATCCAAAGAACTTGCTTTCCTGTGAGCGTATGTGTGTGTGTGTGAGTGTGTAATTGTGCGTGTGTGGGATTTGTTTACCGTTCTTGTGGCATATAATTATAGGCCACACCTCTCCTTTCCAGCATCCTTTGTTGTTGCACAAACATTGTTGTTCCGCCCATTGTACCGGGATCTATTGTCGGTCAACTGGCCATAATTAAATGCGTCTCTCCCTTCCCTTTTCCCATTTTCCCCTTGTCCCTTTCCCTTCCCCCCTCCATTCCCCTCTTTCTCTATTTCTCTCTGCACCTGTCTCCGGCTGACGTGGCAAACATCCTTGTCCGTGAACAGTTGTTTTGGCATATTGTGCATATAAATCACACCAGGACACCAGGTCTCCATTTTCTATGGCAAACCGCACACGCACAGTCGGTGCAATAATTATGGTTTCCGGTTCAATGATTTCATTGTTATCGATACTGAAAGTGGAGTCCTTGCCTTCGACTCGCGTGCCAACAAAGGACCTGTAATTACACGGCTAATTGCGAACTAGTCGCAATCCGATTTGGGCCAGTTGAATCGACGGACTTTAAAGTCACACGTCGAAATGAATTTAAAAATCACACCGATTCGACCGTGATAAAAATGTGCAAATTGCCGCAACGGCCGACCGCACAGCCACCGCATAACATAATGTTTTGCGGTTGGATTTGGGTGAGCCAGCGCCCTCGAATCGCTCCCCCTCGTTGAAAACCGTAATCCCGCCAAACCTGACCGAAAACCAAACCAAACCGAGTGGCGACAGCCTGCCAACGGCTAATGGATGGATTGCGGATGGGCCATGTCGAAGCCTAATTGGTTTTATTAAACGTCACATGAATAATGCCCGCTGCAAGCCAGCGCGAAATGCTTTCAAGTCCTTGACACACTTCACCAACCTGGCCAGGCCATCCCGTAGAACGCCCTCCGTGTTGACTGCTGGCCAACAGATAGCAACCTTGGCGGCCTCATCAAATATTAAAAGCCCCCCTCGCTCGGCTCGGTTAGAAGCGGCTAGGTGCGAGTGCCAGATGTCCGGGGACTGCAATTATTGCGGGGTCGCTTTGCAGATATTAATGCCCGGGCCATATTAAAAGATTTGTCAACGGGCAAACTTTGGCCCATTGTTTTTGGCCCTGGCCCGAGGGTCTCGCGTCCAGCAATCAGATGGCTGACTCGATGGCTGGTCCATTTTTTGGCCATCGCCGGGTCTAATGTCTTTGTAAGTGCGCTATGGCCACGGCGAAAACTTTGGCAGTGGCGCACATTATTTTTTCATCTTTAGTGTGAGCCAAACTGAAAGTAATTTACGCTCGTAAAAACTGCCAAGCCGAGATGCCAGTGAGCGGCAAACTTTATGAAATTTATATACGAATACGCCGGGCCACATGGTGGGTTTTTCGGGGAATTTGGGTACTGGGTGCTGGGTTCGGGATACTGAATCCTGGATGTTGGATACTGGTATCAGGAATCCGGGCTTTGGGTTTCGGCTTCTGATTTGGGGAGGATGTCCCACACCCATTTGTCCTGTTGGCCGACCGTGTCTGCTGCTGAGCCTATAAAAACTTCGACAGCGCATTATTTTGCCTGTTTTCTCCTTTGACAATAATGGCGATTGGTGGTTGGGGGTTTGGTGTCGAAGGTTGGAGGTTGAGGCTTGGAGATTGGGGCTTCAATGGAAACGGCAAAAACGGGGCGAGAAATTTACGTGCGCTGCGAAAGTTCAATAAACGAAATATTTCTGGCCATGATCATTATTTGGCAAACGGAGCGCATAATAAACACATAAAATAAACAAAACTTTTCAATAATCGACTTTTTTCCCACTCTGCCGGGGAGTTTTCCGTTTTTCCGTTTAATGTTTGCCTGCGGCGATGCCCAAACAAAAAAAAAAAAAAAATAAAACGAATGAAAAGGAAAGCGGGGAGTTGGGAAAGCGCAGAACCACAAGGCAGGACCAAGTTTCAATGACAAATGAAAAAAGTTGTCGCCGCTAAAATAAATACGCATTTTTTATAGGCCTGCTCTTGCGTATAATGTTCTGGCGAAAATCCATACATACGCGCTTAAAGCGACTTAAAGCCGGCGATAAAACTATTTTCAATCGTTTGAACTCGCCGAAAGATCGAGTTGAAAAGCGGGAAAAAAACAGGACAGAGCACTTTGGAGATTTGGGGAATTGTATCGCAATTTGCATGCACCGCACACACACACAGACAGAGAGACAAAGCAAGGATTCCCAGTTAAAAGGCAAGTGTTAGCCAGGCAGTGGGCGTGGCTCACACACACACACATACACACAATGGTATGCAAATAAAGGGCAACATTGTAATTGGGGGAAATATATGTAAATTATTCATCATTGCTGATTAGAAGCCCAGCCAAAGACGCATGCCAAAGGAAAGGAAAGGAACGGAACGGAAAGGAAAGGAAGGGAATTGGAAAGGGAAAGCAAAGCGAGCTGGGAAAAGAAGGATGCCCAGGACACCCAGGAGAGGAGCCAGAAACAAAGCCGGAGTCGTTCGCTTGTTAGGCACAACCGGTCTCTCCGGCAGGAAGTAGTTGAGCAGGACCCGGAGCCAAAGGAGCAGCAATTTGCATCCGCTCTCCGCTCCGCTCCTCTTCCATTCGGATTTTTGCAGCGGGATGAGCTGCGATTCCGGCCAAATGGCAGATTAGTTTTGATTTTTTCCAACGCTACCCAAAAATTTCCACTCTCTATTGAATCTTTGGCCGTAAAGCGGCCAAATTGCAGCCAACCTACTTAGCATATTTGAGTGGCACGGACGCATAAAGCACTAAGCACTAAGCACTGAGGATGTTGGGATATAAGGATATGTTAATTTGACCAGCACACAACAGTCGGGGTGGAGTCGAGTCGATCCCGGTGCCCAAATGATGAGGCCTAACAATGGGGCCCAAGTGATTTCGGCCGGCCGCATAAATTTCGCCCATAAAAATCCCAGGGAACGTCAATCTGGGAGATTGGAACTTTGCATAACAATGCAAACGATGCCCGCCGTGTCGAAAAGTCGTTGGCAAATTTGCGAGCCCGGCCTACTTACCCAGTATCTCGACCGTGTGGGTGATTTCGCGCGGATCCATGGTGGCAATCTGGCAGATATAATCGCCGGCATCCGTTGGCAGAGCGTCGCGTATCTGCAGGTTGAATCCGTTGACCAGGCGAACCCTGGGATCGGGCGTCACCTTCACGGATCCGGCGGTCAATATAGCGATGCCTCGCTTCCAGGCCACAACGTACGTATCTGCAATGAGAAGGGAAATCGAAAGAGAAAGAGAGTGAAAAATCAGAGCCGGAATTATAATTGATAAATTATGTTCGAGAGTTATTAAATCGAATGGCAGATTCGAGTGCTTGCATTGCAGTGGCAGCGCAAATTGAAAAGTCAGAATTCAAATGACTCAATTATGGCCCGCTTCAAAGGATCTAAAAAGGCTAGAAATTCAATTTGGCATGGACCCGTACACACCAACAGCCCAATACACACACACACACGCACACACATACACACAGAGGCAGATCCAGAGTGGAATATAAACCGCAGACAGGCGGCATGAACAACACTGGATGAGAGTCAGACAGGCACTCAGTAACACCCACTTGATATCCGCTAATGTGCGGCATTTGCAATCATATGCCAGAATGAGAGGCAGTCAGACACTCGGATGCTTTCACCAGCAGTTGCTGCGGCAGAGGAATGGGGCGGGGAAGGGGTGAAGGAGGGGGAGGGGAAGGAGGAGCAGGAGGCTGCCAGGATGCCATAGGAAGAATGCCAGTCAGCCACATGTAAATAGAGTGGACCTTCAAAGAGATCTAATAGGAAAATACGAGCCTAAAATGTATTTCCGTCTTTATTTTATACAATTTCAAAAGAGAAATCAAAGCTCCCTGATTTTGAATTGATTTTAATAATTTCAAAATATTTTTAAATACTACAAAGCTGCTCATTTAAATTTGTTTAGACTTTTCCTATCACATTAATTTTAATCCATTTTTCAAAATACATAATACTTACTTAAATAATTTTTTTATTCCTCATTATTTTAGAGAAAACCCATTAATAATTATCTAAATTCTGGTCCACCCTAATCAAAACAAATACACTCATAGACACGCTCACACACTCATTCACGTACGACAGCCCATTGGCAATGGCGTATTCATCGAACTCATTAATTGTGATTCCTTTTTCAATTTATGTGAGTTGCTCGATGTAAATTTCCGTTCGCGTGCATCGATGGTCTGCGAAGTTGGGAGTGAGAATGTGGGGGAAAAATGGAGGAGATGGAATCCAAAAAGTATTGAAATGTGTATTGAAGCTACCGGATTTGCTACTAATGATGTATGACTTCCGTGTTTCGGCGCCAACAAGCTGCGATCATTAAAAATTAAAACAATTTTGCCCACCATCGACAGCTAAGTGAGCTTTTATGCTGCCAAAAAATGAAGAGTACGAGGACAAAATATACAGCTGCAGCCAAAAAATTATTACCACCTCCCATAAAATATGTATACTGCTCCATTTCTTCAAAAACAATCGATAAAATTTGTATATAGATGTAACTAGATTTAAGATTATTAAGTTTCGGAAACTTTTTAAAATCCAATTGCTTACAGGGAAGTTGATATTGTATGCCATTGATCCATTTGTTTGATTTAACAAGTATTACTCAAAATATTTGCATATCAGAATACACTTTAACAACATTTTGACCGCAGCTGTACGACTGCACCTTCCTCGAATTGATTTCACCTCGCACGCAGTCACACCAGTCGGCAAAAAATAAAGGAGTGAGTGAGTGAGTGCGGTAGGACCTGAGCCAAGTTGGCTGGGCTGTAATAAAATGCTTATGAAGTCATTTACATGCGCATTCAAAAAGCGTATTTATTTGCAATGAGTTCAACAACATCAACAAGCCGAGGCGCACGGTCTCCGACGCCATGAAAGCCTGAAATGCTGAAGAACTGAGGGTCTGATGGGCTGAAAGGCAGGCGATGCAGGCGCAGTGCACTGCAAAAACAAATAAATAAACGAGCACCACCTGCTGTCGTTAGCGTGCTCTAAAAGGAGTCGAAGGTGGAGTTGCGGCTGCAGGATATGCAGCCAGGTGGCAGGGATATGTAGATGTGGATGGTGTCCCTGCCGCAGAACGAGAGAGAGAGACTCGGCAAACGAACGGAAAATATAATTCTTTAGGCTTCCGGGGGGTGCGAGGGTATTGAGTTGTGGGCTCGCCCCTTCGAAGTTTCCCCTTCCCCTCCCCTTTCCCCTCACTCCTACGTTTTGCTTAGGAATTAGGGGGCAAAGGGTGCTGGCGCACGGGTGTTGCAACTTGTACGTGCTGGCGAAGTGCAGTCATATCATATTAGCCGCTTGATTGAGTTATGAATGAAGCAAACGTCAGTTGTAGTTGGTGCATTGCCAAGTCGATTTTGCGCAGGGATATGCAAATTGGGCAAAGGCCCCCAAATTGCCCCAGTTGGGCTGTCAATTACTTGGTTCCTAGGGAAATTTTCAGGCCACACAATTGGTTAATTTCAACGAGCTCCGCCTAATTGGCTTTCTTTGTTTTAGACCTGTCAGTTCATTTACATTGGAAATTCCTGAATAATTGAAATTATTCTTTGATGTAAGAACAAAATTCACAGACATTTCGGATGCCGATTTGAAATATTTGCTGGTATCATCACCCCATTTCAAAATTAAAATGGAAAAGCTTATGGAAAGGATACAGGAATTACCGAAATAACTGCTAAGAGTAAAACGTAATTGTTTACAGGTTGTTCTGAGCTTTCTGTGTATATAGGCACTCGGTTGGCAAAATAATTATTCTGCAGAAACCATTTAGCAGACTCTGGGCCAAGATTGTTCAGGATTCAGGACTAAGGACTCTTGTCCGTTGCAAGGGCACACATAAATCAGGAGGAGCCCTGTTCATGTGTGCACCACTGCCGGCTGCAACTAAATAAATTGTTAACTAAAATAACAACAATCTAACGAAAACAAGCAAAACACGAAACGCCTCAATTTCCGGTTTAAGTGTTCTAAACTAAATAGAAACACACACAAACAAACGCACACAGATAGAGCAAAAGGATGCGGGGTGAAGTGGCGGCATTACGACAACAATACATGCAAGCAATTGCGCCGTTAAGCGAGCGGCAAGTCCTAGAATCAGGATCAGTGAAAGGAGAAGGAGCAGGAGCAGAAGCGGATGAGGATGAGGATGAACGAGAGTGGCTGGCGTGGGGCGGAAACTCGGTAAAAGCATTTCGGTTTTTCCATGTCGGACTCATCCTCGCTGGGCTCACATAAACACGGCCTCCTTCTGGACAAATGGGCCGACCACACACGTCCTGCTGCCGAGCGCCGGTTCATTGTTTACAGCCCAAAAGCCAACTTTTAGTTTTCCACACTTCACCCAGTGACAGAGATCCTGCACACACACACACACACACACACACACACAATCGGAGCCACATGTACATCCATATGCACATAAACAGGCTGGCACACAAACTCGACCAATTCAAATATGGCCAATGTTCGCATTGTTGCAGCGCCTTTGTCTGTTTGCCCGGGGCATACTGTGCGTATGCGCAATATGCCAGCCATCGCCGGACTCTGACGGGGCTTTCTCACAGTGTGGCAGCAGCAGCAGCAAAAGCAACAGCAACAGCAACAGCAACAATAGCAACAAAAGCAACAAAGGCCGACCAAACGGACATGTTGTTTGTCTGAGCGCAATTTATTGCATGTCGGAAAGGCCAATATTATAAGATGATGACCCCCGAAGATAAACGATGTTGCGGCTTAGCCGCCGCAGGCAAACTAGAACGAAGGAGGCGGTGTGGATACGGGGAGGGTAAGGGGGCGTGGCAGACTTATCTGCAACTTCTTGCGAAACTTTGTACAACTATGTATGTTTGCCGGTCGAGTGTGAGTGCGAGTGTGAGTGTGTTAAGTGTGTGTGCGCTGAGGCCGTGCGTGTGTGCTTGCTTGTACGGAAAAAGCGAAATTAGAACTGTAAATGGCATTAATATTGAAACTTTGTTGCCACCGTACCGTACCGCTCCGCATTCATACGAGTATAACAAACTCCATGCGAAGTCGAGTGGTCGGTCGGTCGGCTGGTCCGTCCTGCTGTTTGCACAACTTCAACTTTTGCGGTACGATTCCATTTCCGTTTGCCGGGTAATAGTTTCGAGCGCCGACGCTCCATCAAAGCGTAATGAGCGTTTGTATGGCCGCAATGACGGGGTTTTTGTGTTTTGAATTTTATTGCATTCGAGTTTACAGTCGCAGCCAGTTACCAGTTAGCATTTACCAGTTAGTCGTGGCCAGTTGTTAAATGTTTTTGCTCTTGCCATTACGCTTGGTTGTTTTAGTCCTTGTTGCCGTTGCAGCGAAGCCGCAATGAAAAATTCACACGACACTGGCTTTGCATGCAGACAAGTTGAGCAGCGGATAAAATGGCCAAGGCAATTAATTAGCCGATTTAGAAAAGCTTAAAAACTGCAACATTGAAGCGAACGAGAAGTGGCCGTGCACAATCAGCCACAAAAGCTTCCGAAATATTGCGAGTTAAAATTAAATCTGTTTTCCCGTCTCTCGCATATTGTATATTTAGGAGGTTTTTCACCATTTTGCCAGTTTACAAGCATAAATTATATAATAATATTTACTCGTCTCGAAAGGCACAGGATTAACATGCAAATTCGTCCAAACAAACTGCTCTAAAAGAACAATCTGCCACCTGCCTTTGTCTGTGTTTGCTTTTCTTGCCAGGACACCCCGGCGTCCTCTCTCTCCAGCAGGACATCAGCCAGACGCCTAAGATATTGTACACAAGCCTAAGCTTCTGGGATATAATTACGCTTTGGCAGCATGAACCGAACTGAACTGTTTCTCTCGCTCATGATCAAAAGAAATATTTGGATTTTCCGAAATTGATATTGTCGAGCTTTGCCGTCTAGAGGGTATCCTGCCGGAGCAAAGGAGCAGTTGCAGGAGTGGCAGAGGCAGAGGCAGTGGCAGTGGCAAAGGCAAACAACAAAGGAAAAAAAGCTGAAAACACAGACAAGCAAGCAGACTATGGAATAAACAGACTTTGCGTGCCAGACAGAAACTGGCGAACAAATAAAAATTCAAATGAAATGATAATGACGAAATGTTTCACTGTTTGCTCGCACTCAGACTCAGACTATCGCCCCTTCGTCCACTCGAGCTGAAAGATTACTCTTTCGGCGCTCAGAGCTGCGTAATAAGTGTTTAAAGGCATTTTCATATAATATGGAAATGCTAACACACGCACACACACGCACTCACACACTCAAAGCTTTGCCCTTTGTGTGATTTTCGTTTTTACGAGTTCGCATCCATAAAACGGAATGAAAATGCGCATAAATTGTACAAAGTGCCGGAGAGTGCGACGTTTTAGTGGCGGTTTTAAAAATTCTATCAATTATTTTTTACACTTTACGATCGCGCCCATAAAAGGGGCGGTAGCACTGCGTTCCGCCTCACCTGCGTCCGCAATCGGGCCAAATCGCCCGATACACCCGATACGCCAGATACGCGTTCCTAATCATATTTCTGCCGCGTGCCCCATAAAGCATGCGTTATTAAAAAACAAAGCGTTCGTGCCGCGGCTCAGCTTTTAATTATTTCGTTTAAGGGCGCTTATAAGCCGCGAGTGGAGCAATGGCAGTAATGAAATTGTCGTATGGGCACTTTATTAGCATAATGCGGCATTAGCCAAGGGGACAAACCGGGCCAACTGGCGGATCGGTGGATGAAGAGGGCTAACTGCGGGGAAAACCAAACGCCCAGCCAATTTATTTTCCTTCCGTCCCGCCGGCGTGCCCTGTATTTACTTTCTTGTGCTTTATTCCGGTATTTTCTGTTCTCAGCCCTGCTTTTTTATTATTAGTACCCAAATGCCCGCAGCTATAATTTTGTTGCAGAAATTGTCTATGTATCGCATCGCCTGCGTTGCCAGCTTCGTCTTCTTCGCCTTAGTCTTGTCCTTGGTTCTGGTTCTAGTCCTGGTCCTGCTACTTCGTCCTCCTTCTCGTCCCCTCTTTCTCGTCCTGGTCGAAGTTGTGGAGTTCGTCGTTGTCGGAGGCAATCAAGTGCATGAGAAACGCAAATGAAATTCTTTGTTCTGTATTTCCTCTTCTTATAAACGGATACACCCGCCGCAAACGTCTCAAGCTCATATGCTTCTACATAAGCGGATACATATGTGTGTTCATGCACTGGGAAATATTTCTAAGCTAAAGCCTAATGCCTAAAAAATCAGAACACAAGCCAGAGAAAAAATCATAAAGAATTGAACACATTCTAATAGTATTTTTTTAACACACAAGTTTAAAATAAAATGTTGAATAATCCAGTTCTTCCTAGTTAAGTAAGAAAATGAAACTACCTCTAACATTTTTTTTAAATAACATGCTTTGGACTTCCTTGAAACGATATAATATAATAATATTCAAAATATAATACATTTTCTAGAGACATTTTCTCTGTGCACAAATAAAATGTGCTCGAAGTGTCTTGGTCCGAGTTTTTATGTAGCATTTTGTCTCCGACGAGTGGCACAAGTTTTGACCATCTTGGGCGGCTTTGTCTTGGCCGAGCTTTATTTTATTCCTCCCACATATTTGAGCCCCCTCCCAATCCCCTGGCATGCTGTTGCTTATGCTAAATCCTTGTTATGTACAAATAATCTCGCACACACGACCGCATTTAAATTGAAAAACGTACATGGAGCGAACGGGCAGCGTTCGGATGCCAGGACTTGAGTTGAGCGGAAGACCGCAGCAAAAACGCCGTGACCACTACACATGTCTTGGATGGACGAATGGATGTGTTGCCACCCATCGCCGGTCCTGTTTTTCTGCGGTCGGAGTGCCACAGAGGACTCAGTCGGATGGATTTTAGCCCGGCCGGGGGATTAATGCATAGTTGTGGCCATCGCATAATGTCGGCTTAATTATTTGTATGGCAGAGCCTTCGACCGCAGCATTTAAATGCAAACTGCGTGGGCGAATCTGCCCGTGTCGGTATGCCTGATGGAAAATGGGTTTTCCGGGTTTTTCCCGGGCTATCCCACTACCACTACTACAACCACTACTATTACTTATACTAATACTCACCCGTGTTGGCTACTTCGCAGGGCAGGACTATTGTCTCGCCGGTGATAAACTTGAATGTCTCCGAACGTGATATGAACATGGGCTCGTTCTTGGTCATCAGGCTCTGGGCAGAAACTGCAAAGGAAACACAGAAAGGAGAGGAGAGACGGACTTTTAATATCAAATGCCTTTTGCTATTTTCGTACGAGACATAAACTAAATTACTCAAAATATTATTACTCGGTTTCTGGCCAGAATGTGTGCACACATCTCGGTCTGCCGGACATCAACTAGATTCTAGATCAACACAACATCTTGTGTGTATGGCTAATTGGTTTAGTGCATTTAAGAATATTTGTCAGATGTCGGAAAGTTCATAAAGTGCATTTTATTATGCCCATCCAATGAAAGTTGTCAAATTTACGCACAGCTCTGGCCAAGAAGGATGGGCAAATAATTTAATGCACTTGCTGTTGATTTGCTAATCAATTTTATATGTCAATCCTTGAGTCCTTGTGCGTGTGCTTATGCTTGTGTGTGTACGTGCTGTGGGATTGCTTTCATCTCTCTGTGTGTGTGTGTGTGAGTGTGATGGTAAAGTGTTAAATTGCACTTAAATATTAAAGCATACTTTTTGACCAACACTCCGTTGAGTACGGAATTAATTCAATTGCCAACACCCATCGGCACGCACAGACACCGATGCGCTTTGCGTATCTGGTAATGCGTGTCTTGCATAATTTATTCAAGCCCACGGTGACCACATCAAAGGCCCTCTGCCGCATGCATGGCATTAGGGTATTTATTTGGTTTTGTAATTAAACAATGATTATTGCATAAATAGCCAGGCACTGCGGCCGGCCCCAATTAAACTCAATTAAACGCCGAGCACACCCGTCATTTGTTTCGAGACTTTCGGGACATTCGGGACTGGCCACCGCCTTCCCCCCGAAGCGGATGTGCTCGTATCCGGTTACAAGGTAATCGATTACTTTTAGTGTGACAGGGCCAAGTGCGGATACAGATACGACTACGCTGGCCGCACTTCCGCACGCAAACGGAGCGCCATCAAGGATCAGCAAAAAAAAAAAAAAAAATCAGGAATAACAACAACAATAACAAATGAAAACAGGAAAAACAAGAAAAACTGTGCGTCAGCTACAAAGCGCCAGCAACAACAACAAAAACGAGGACGAAACGACGAGTCGATGCCAAAAGGCGACGGCAAACAATTTAATACGTTTAAGCGAATGTGTCAACAGGGCAAGCTGCCTTGAGCCTTGGGGCTCTGAGCGATGAACAATGAAAGGACGACGGGGCTGAAGGGTCCTGCCACCGCCTCTGCCTCAGTCACTGCCACTGCCACTGCCACTTCCACTGCGAATGCGGATGCGGATGGAAAGGACCGAGGACCAAGCACTTTTGACACCATGACAGGACCTGACGTGGCCAGCCGAGGTCCTGGAATTGAATTGATTCGATTACGCTGCGGGCACAATAATGAAGTGTCAAATGTTGTATTTATCTGCTGCGGAAACATTTGCTAGCAGGATCAGGAGGGGCAGCCGGCAGGAGAGTAGGAATACTTTTCGGAGAAAAGAAATAGGTAAGCTGGGCCAGAAGTCAGCAGCACGCACTTGCGAAAAAGTGGAGGCTGACAGGCAAGCGAGCGAGGACTTGGCAGGACCCTCGATGCCATGTTGCCGGCATTTTATTTGATTCCTCTGCTGTTTTTTCTGCTCTTCTGCTTTTTTGAGCTCTTGGCCCGTGCGACCTGACTTGTGTAGCCTATTTGTGTGTTTTGTTTTCCTGGTTCGTTTTCTCGTCTATTTTTTTCTTCTTCAGAATTTTCTGCCGTTCTGGCCTAGTAAATATAATTTCTTTTGTAGCCGAGACTAGTCTGTTTTTAGCCCGGCTCGTTGCTTGTGACAATATTTTCGCAAGACGACGGATAAAGGCGTTGGCAGCACGTGCCTGTGCTCCTGTCAATCGAGTCCTTGATGCGGATAATAACGAAATAATGTCGGACGAGAAGAGGAGAGTCCTCCTTCCTCCCTCCCTCCATCCCCATCCATTCTAGTTGCGACAGGAAGCAAGGGTTTCCGTGCCCTTCTGCCATCTTGGGATTTGGCATTCCGTCGAGTGCTAATAAACCAAATGACTTTGTGCCACATGGGCGCTGAACCGCGTCCCCGGGAAATCCAGAGGGGATCTCGCTAGAGATGAAAAGCCAGAGATGAAAGAATCTCCGCCAGCACTCATTTGCACACTCACACGTGCCCCAGGAATATTTCCTGCATATTTATTTGATTTCAATTTGATTCTTTGCTCCCCAGAGGTGAATATGCACTCATTGAACCGAGGCCGAAGTTTGAATTTGAGTTTTCTACTTTCTATTTGTGTCTGGTCAGTTCGGTCGCCTGTTTGCCTGTCTGTGTCTACAATTCAATTTCAATTTTCCAATTTTAGTGCCCGTTTTTGGCCCCCGGGTCCTTGCTTTCCCGCTCCCCCCCTTTCACCAATCTCTGGTCAGGATTTTTTGTTTTTGCGGTTTGATATTCAAAGTTTTTCCATTAAAGTTATTCGCAGAGAATAAGAAAAGTTTGCCTCACATACAGTTGCAAATATTCAATTTGAGTAGAAAATTATCAAAACTAGTTTTTAACTTCGTGAGAACCCTTCTTCTTCTTCTTCCACCGGGAAGTACCATTCACTCGGCAGTTTCGCCCGCTGACCTTCATTGCAAAAAGTGTGCAGTAACGCCCAAAAGTGGGAGAATCGCAACCCCCCAAAAAAACAAGGGGGTAAAAAAATGTTACAATTTTGGTAGCACGCAAAGTGCATAAAATATAGAAAACGGCTTGGTTCCTGCTGTTCGCTGTTCCTGCAACATCTGCTGCAACCGTTGTAATTTCGGCTCAGGGACGCCACTGCACCTGCTCTGCGTTTCAGTTCGCACCGGAGATGCAACTGCGACAAAAGCCGCGCGCACTTTCCTAAAAACTGTGTGAAAAAGGACAAACAGCAAAGGGCGGTAAAAAAAAACGTGGAAATTCATTTAACGGGCAGCGATGGGAAGCAACTTTAAGCCAACATAGTAAATCCCCTGATAAAGCGCCAAAAGAGCAGATCCGGGCAGGTGCTTTTCATGGCAGTTGCCAAAGGCAAACACGCAATATCTTCTGAGCGGCTACTTATGCCGGAGTGGCCTTTATCCCGACTGGCTAACTGGCTGAATGGCTGACTGGCTGGCTGGTTGGCTGGCTGGCTGGCCAACAGACGTCTGCATAAATCTCCCATATTTCGAGCAGACGAACTCAGCCATCAAAGATCCCAGCACTATTAACGTGCCCAGCACAAAGAGCAGCCAGTTGTGCAATCTGACGGGTGAGGCGATAGGGCGCCCAACCGAACACAACCGAACTGAACTGGCAAATTTAGCACAAGGGAATCAAGGATTACCTCAGCAAACACACAGAGCCCCACACGAATTGATGCACGGGAAAATAAAGTCGAAGGATAAAGCCTTTCTACAATTCAAGTACAGGTAACAAACTAAAGATTCGATTTAGAGTCCATGTTTCACTAAATATTGGCGAAGAAAATCTAGACAATCGAAAGTATACAAGCTTAAAATTGAAGTAACTTTTTAACTTTTCAAATGCCTGCTACAAACTCCAATTAAAGATTACAAAATGCTACACTTTGCTATTTAAAATAGTTTCAAAAGCTTCTTAATAAATTTGAAAGATCGAACAAAAATAAATTCCTGCTGGATACAAAAGTAAAGTTTTTCTTTCCCTGCACGTAGCCGCAAATTTCGAACAGCTTTTGGGGGGCGGCGGGTGGATGGGTGGTATGGATGGGATGGGTGGTTGGGTGGATGGCCACAAGACTGAAAAGCATTGCCAAAATTGAGTGAAAACCAAAGTTTGATACTGTTGTTGCAACGTTACGTGCCACTCCTTCGACCGGCCACGCCCACTTCCGCCACATGTTAAAACAATCTAAAAAGTTAGCGGGAAAACAATGTGATTGCAAGTGAAATATTCATGGAGTGCACTTTTGACATGAAACTTGGCCCGGCCGCAAAAGACGGCTTGCGAACATCGCAAGTTGAGAAGGGGAAGGTGGCCCCAAATCGTTCTGTTTCGGCCAGGTTAGCGCGGCCAGCGAAGCCAGTGGAGCGCTAATTTCGCAGCCACACTGGCCGAGCGGCAAACTGATAGTAAACTGCAGTAAACTCCGGGCAGCGAACCACTGAACCACTGAACCCACAATGAATACCCACATGCCCCGCCACTTTCTATGCACCGCTACGCCATTCTCTTTTCGCACACATGTGGGCCATAAAATCTGAAGTTATGTTCAACAATTTCTGGCCAACTGCTGTGGGCAATTTGTTTGCTCGCGTTCCTGCGGTTTAACAACATGTTATCCAGCCCGGGTGCCGAAAATCAATGGAACGCTTCAGCGCTCGACCGCCGAATAAATTGCTGTTCACTCTTTTTTGCTCACTATTTATTAAGCCAACATTTACAGAGACAGAGGAATCATTTAAAGCGAAAGAAGATACAAAGCTAGCAGAGATACAACAACGCGTACTTAGACTAATACAGAACAAATGGAGCAGGACGAATGCAATGTGTCACCTTTATGGCGACAGGAAAATGAAATCACGTTGTCCCTCACGTGACAAATGCCCTGGCTATGATAGATGTGCGCCGGTCCCGGGACTTTTCTCCGGCCCAATGGTTCCGGGCACGTTCCAGATGGCCCCGGTGACGACAACACGTAGCGAAATGCGCATTAAATTGTGAAAAATGGAATTTCGGGCAAATCAAAAGCGTATTACAATCCCCGAAATAAGTGAGACGCAGCGGCTGGGGGGAAAAACAAATCAATGTCAATGCTCTGATGTCTGGCGAAAGGTCCTCTGAATCTGACGCAACAACGATGCGAGTGCACCGAAAGAAAAGAGTGGGTAAACTATTCAGAAATCAATGTAATGTTTAATCGGATATTTGTGTTCAATTGATACATGAGTAACCAATTCGTTTTGGGTTCTTATTCCACATTTGTTGCTACTTAAAAGTCGAATCTCTTTGATAATCATTAGTTATAATCTTTTTCTT